TGTGGCAGATTCTTAACTTTGATAAAGAATAGCTCTTTGGTTTTGAGACTTTAGTCTTTGCAACTTCAGGGATCTTATCTATGCACAATCAGCTTGTAACACTCCAAAGAGAAAGGAAAACTTGAAATCGCATCATATGACCCCTTTAAGATTTTTATTTTTTTTTTGCAGTTCAAATAACAGTTTTCTACGGAAGAGTTAATAGTGCTTTTATACATATGCAAGCTTTACATTTCTGTCTTGCATTTCTGAACTCTGTGTATTTCCTTAAACATTTATATTATTATTATTATTATACATTTCATTAATTTTTTATTTTTTACAAACTAAGAGCCACATTCAAATTATTTGCTGTGGTAATCAAGCTTCACTTGTATTCAGTAAACTAATATCTCATTATATCCTTGTCTGTCACATTCACACACACATACATACATCAGACAGATATAGATAAAAGCTTAAGAAATTCTTACACACATCTACGGCATGTGAGAGGGGTCTGTGTGCATTAGCTGTGGAGAATATTAAGGAGTTACATAAACACTAATTAATTCACCCCAGGGACGCCCACCTCCACCCCTTCCCTTTCCTGCCAATCTGAATTAGAGACTTATGGAATCACAGCAGACTCACTGTCTGTTTCATTTCACTGCTCTCTTTCATGGGCCTGACTGCCCTCTCTTCTGTGAACTTCCTCTGCAGAGCTGCACATAAAGGCCTTGTAAGCAGTCCGTAAAATCTACATAAGCCACATCATAAACTTCTATTGTTTGGATTTTGTGTGAAGGGCTAGATTATGTGATTACTACCCTTTTATTGATATAAACAGTTTGACAGTTTTTTTTATTAGTGGTCAATGCAGCTGCTGAAACGCATCTGTAATTGGTTAATATTCTTTTGTGGTAGCATTATTTTTATGCTTAAAACCTTTTTGTGTTTAAGAGATTGTACTTGCCACATACTTGACACAGTAGTCTCAAATCACACACACTCAAAACACAGAATCAACATGATCTACAATATTATGCACAATTGTGCTAATTTTCTCACTTATATTGTTGTTGGTAGTACTGTTGAGTTGCATAGACAAGTAAAAGTGGTATTAGGTAGTATTGTCATCGCTGTCAAGTGTTTGATGGTGAAGGATAAAAATTTATCAAGGTTAAGTATTTTAAAAGAGTTCATTAAGTCGTGCATGTCGTCAGCTGATTTGGAGGAGATATGGAGGGCAGATCAGTTGAGTAGTCAGGTGAGAGATGAATGGAGAATCTGGTCATCTTACTGTACTGGGTGGATGTGGGGCACCTTTGGCACCCGCATCTTCTCTTCTCCTCCTGCTCCATCTGTTAACCCATCCTTTCATCCGACCCCTCTACCCTCACTGCTGTCGTTCAACATTTGAAGGACGGACACACACACACACACACATGCACACCCACCCTTCTCAGTTCTCACATTTCCTTTAAGGCATCATAACGGTTTACACATTGCTTATTTCTGTCACTGGATCTAATGGGATTCACAGTTTTTCACGCAGCAGTCATGCACATTTCAGGCATGAAGTCACACACATGCAATCACACACAACATTAGATTCACCACTAAACCACCTCACACATGTAATTGCTGAAATTTCTCCCCAGCCCTCATCAGAACCCATTTATAATTGAATTACTCCTCTTCAAAATGTATTTTGGCAGTTGATCAGACTAGCTAGCATATACAGTATACTAGCTACAGAAGTGTGTGTGTGTGTGTGTGTATATATATATATAATACTATATTTTATGAAGAGTTTATTTGCAAAAACAGATGACTTTAATTAAAAAATTTTTTTTTACTGTTATTATGTTTTTACTGTGTTTTATTGTTAGTTAGCTGTATTTTTTTGTTATTTTGCAAAATAACCCAACTGCAGTTTGTTTGCGATTACTTGTACAATGAAATGTACAATGAAAAAACATGATTTATTAAAGTTATCTGTTTTTGCAAATGAACTCTTCATATTATTTTATTAATATGCTTATGTATATTAACATTATATTATATTTATTATTATATTATTATAAACAAATACTAAGATCTAATTAGATACTGAATATTAACAAAATGCTTATCAAATTTGTTTATTTAATATATTTTTGTATATATCTGAAATATTTCATAAATAAACATATAATTTATTCATTTAAATTAAATTCATTTAAGTTTTTGGTTGAAGTGATTTCCTGAAACTAAAGCAATATGTGAACCCTACTCGTGATGTTTGAACTTTTAAGTCCTTAAGAGGTTGGAATGCAGCTTGATATCATCATGATTTGTGTTCTTGGTGAACTTTTTACCAGTCTTGACCAGTCACTCTGGAGGATTGAGGGAATCCAAGTTCCCAAGTACCTTTGACTAGGGGCTCATAAATCCTTTCTTTATCATGTGTGCAGCATTGTGTTATGTGCAGACTGACACAGCTGTTGTCTCTGTGTGTCCTCAGTGAGTTTGTCTCATGGCTTTTGGCGACTGGAGAGATCAGTAAGGCTGAGGAGGGAATCAACCTGGGTCAAGCTCTCCTGGAGAACGGCATCATCCATCATGGTAAGAGAAGGTTCTCTCTCGAAGAAAATTGTGTTGTTACCTTGATTTTGTTGGACATGGACCATGGTATTCCAGTAGTATCATTTTTAATTACTTTAGGGTACTATGTAAATGTGAATATAGTATTATGGTATTTGAATAATATATCAATATATATTATTCATCAAATATATATTGTAATATCTTATCTTAGGATGTGCAAAACCTACATATTTTCAGAATCCACCAGTTGGTGGGTTCTATGAACATCTGTCGACATAATGGAAGCTCTATATCAATTGGCTATAAATAGCTAAATTTATACATAAACAAGACTAATGATTAGTCAAGATAATGACTAGTCAACCATTGTGACCATCACTGTAAAATTACTAATTGTAATCACTATTACTTGATACAAATCTATTATTCTTTTTCTCTCTCAGTGTCTTCTCTCTTTTTCTGTCCTTTTTTTCTTTCAACCTCCTTTCAGCTCCAATATATTTCATCATGTTTTTGAGTGTTGCTTGGTTTCACCACCAAAATGCAACTGCTGTCTGTTCTATTTTTTGATACGGTCTTGCCAAATTAAATCCTAATCCATTAACTGTTTATACAAATGTTGGACTGTTAAAAATCACCATTTGACAGATTTACACTCTACAAATCTGGCAAATATCCTTGTTGGCCGGCACTCACTGAAATCCCCTACAGATGATCGGCAGTCTGGATAGTAACATGACATGAAATGCTGGTAGAGAACAGCATTATTCTGATTTATTCAAGAGGTGCAGTGCTTGCCTGAGATTTGGGGAGCATCATACCTCTATTTTACAGCCAGGGGATTGACACACAGTGAAAACTGACAAACACCAGAAGGGATTGGAGTGATGAATTCAAGTATAAGGGTTCAGGCGCTCGATCAATAATATGGTGGCAGCATTCAAGGAGAGGTCAAAAAGGCTTTTGTGGAGTGATGGCATTCACACACTTTAATTAATCACTGACCTTCACATACATGTTTATCAGCCTGAGTCCGTGAGCAGCAAAGTTAGAGAAACCAATAGATCACAAGCTCAATTCCAGCGCATGGTGCTATGTTATGTTAGAGGTGAAGTTTACTGTTTAGGCAAAACATAACCAACATTTAACTGTATCTATGTGTGTTTTTTCCACTGTAGTGTCAGACAAGCATCAGTTCAAGAACGAGCAAGTGTTGTATCGCTTTCGGTATGATGACGGCACTTATAAAGCCAGGAGTGAAATGGAGGACATCATCTCAAAGGTATTTCCCCTAGAATACTTGCTAAAATGATAGCTCATGTACAAATGATACACGAGAAAAGATAAATATCTTTTTTCTGCGATGAGCTCAGCAAAAGAATGAATCCAAGGCAGACAAGATGAGGGAAATGTAATTAGAAATAAGCTTAAAATTCATTAAATTCTGAAAAGTAACTTTAAAAAGTTGCATTCCATTATACGTATTACTCAGTATGTGTTAGTGCTGTGCTAACATCAGACTCTACTGGAATCAATTTAGAGTCAAGTTTCTCATGCACTGTTTGTGCTAATGTGGAAAAATTGTTTGTGTAGGCAGCTCACTAGGTTTGGTCCATTTTAACTAGTCAGTTTATAGATTTAAATCAACAGAATCTTGAGTGCCTATGATCTCGATAAATAAAGACTACAAAATGGTCCACTTAACAATTGTTGTCAACAACTCAGTCAAGCAGTGATTTCAACAGTAAATGAAATGAAGAAAGCGATGCAGCTGTTGGTGCAAATGCTTTAAATGAGTGTATGTGTGTCCGACAGGGAGTGAGACTTTACTGTCGTCTCCACAGCCTCTTCACACCTGTTATTAAGTAAGTGACACATGTTCTATGACATACTTCACACGGCAAACAAATGACAAAGCCCTTACTCAATTCATTAAAGCGTTATGATTTGTATTTAAGTTTCTGACAATATGTGTTGTTAACACCCTTTTCTTGCACGTGGTCAGTAGCATTACCATTTATTTATTGTCTCTTTTAGAATAAAATCCAGGTTATAGTTAAACATCTTTTGACAGCAAATACAAATTATTTTTAATAAGCAACCGTTTAATTTCAACTGCAGTAAAAGATGAGACGTGCCCGTTTGTACTTCATAGATTCACCTTGGCCAGCTGCACGTGATAGAGTGTGTGTGTGTGTGTGAGGACTGCAGGGTCATATTGCTTTTCTGTCACCATTCACCTTTGATATCTAACATAATGAGCGAGGAGAGGCCATTGAACTGCAGTTGGGACCAAGTCTGGTCTCAGATCCACAAATTAACACAGAACGTGTTAGTTACTTGCCCTTTAGCAGATACCTCTTATCTTTTAAGCGACTTACAGTCCAGGTCACTAATTACACTACACTAATTGCAAAGACAGACCACCCTGGAGCAATCTGGGACCTAGTGGTAATAAAAGATCTCAGTTGATAGAAGATATTTTCAGATCATTGATCTCCATTAGCTGGGCTTAAACCCACCTTTGCCACTAAATCGTTCAGTACCCGCTTCAAACACAATCACTGAATTGTGACATTTCCATTATTATATCAATTATATTAAAAGTATAAAAGGCCTAATTTGGGTTTTTCCAGTGGTGTATCTTGTTAGAAATGCCCTGCTCTTTTGCTTTCTCTTGTAGTCAGATGTCAGATGTTGTTTATGTTAACGTCTGGACAGTTGTGAACCTTTTTAAATTCTTCTTTATATACAGAGACAGAGATCATCATTTGAAAACCTTCAAATCTGTCATACCAGCTAGCAAACTGGTGGAATGGCTTGTGTCACAGGTAATATGAGGAAGGACACACACACATACCACTTTATTGCATAAACATGCACACACAAACACACTCTTTTTTTTTTTGCTTTCAGCTCATTGTTTTTGGGTTTCTGTACACAATTAATATCCTATTTCTGGACTAATTTAATGCCTACTTATTTACAGTTTAATGATCACAGCCGCTTCATTCTGTAATTTCATTCCAAACACAGAAGTCATTTAACATGATTTTCCTCCTTCAGGGTGACAGCACAACCCGTGAAGATGCAGTGACCCTTGGTGTCGGACTCTGCAATGCTGGTTTCATGCACCACGGTCAGTCTCTATGTCCACATATTGTTCTTGACAGTCTTCATATAAAATCATGATGAGGTTTTGGGTCAGTTACTGTTATAATGTTAGCAGATTTGCCAATAACTGCTATGTCTGGACACTTAAAATTTTTTCATAGTTTTACAGAGTTTCATAAAATACTTTGTTACCCAAATTTTATATTAAAAAAGTATTTCTCCATTCAAAACTTGAGGATTTATGAATTACTGACTTCAACCACTACTTCTGGTGGTTAAAATCAGCATGAAATGAAATTTGACTGAAATTCATCATATATTTTATTGATTATTACATGCATGCATGTTTAATTATTTTACATTTGTTACCCTTATCATTTTTCAGCAAAATGTCATAACGCAATCTTTCTGAGACACAATAGACTTTTCTCTGGTGACGTGTGTCATTTTCTCTTTAGTTCACTTAAACCCTGAACATTTCTTATAATCTATTGCAAGCTCTGTCTTCATCCAATCAATAACTGTTTGATTGAACCAAGTCCCTGCTCTAAATTTTTCTTTTAGTTTATCCATTTCACTCAGGATGTAAAAGATGTCACTACTTACATTTCATTGCGATTTTAAAGGTCAAATGTATAGTTTCTGTGCTCTAGTGACATCAGATGGAATTGCAAAAAGTATATTGAAGATGTTACACGTGTCGTCTTTAAATAAACTTCAGATTTTGCCGTTTCGTGGCCTTTTCTGTTTGCCATTACAACACATGTGGTGTCCAGAGCAAAGCTTTGAAGCGTGTTTGTGTTTGAGAGAGAGTGAAAGCATTTTGACTTGTGCCTGCACTAGAGCAGCCTTGTATAATGCGACAATAATTAATCTTGCAGTTGTGTCGTGTTTTTAAAAAGCAATAAGCCCCAAGAAGCTATGGTTTACAGTGATTTTGAACAGCTAAGCAACACATAGATGCAGTGGTGTAGTATTACTGATGTAACAAAATCAAAAGTTTGTTTGTATAGTACTTTACATTTTCGAAGGCGAGTCAGCCGATCATAATCAAGGGCTGGAACTATTTGTTTTATAATGCTTATTTAACAGTGTTATCTTTTTTCTCTCTAAATTCATTGATCAGTGCATTAAGTGCAGCACAGTTTTTCAGTGTGGTGTTTTACAGTTAGGGCTTTTTAACATCACACTCTGAATGTGTCTGCCAGAGGTCTAGTTTGTCAGTATGAGAGACAGAGTAAAATGAAGAGAGATGAGTGTGTTTTAGATGTAAACAGCTGTTGCAATAACATCTGGGGCCTCTGATGGAACAGAAATAGTCACAATATTGGAAAAGAACATATTCTGATGAGATACACATGCTCATAGACACAAGCCTCCTGTTATAGAAGTGTTTTGCAGCCATGTCAGATCTCAACTTCCAAAACAGTCCACAACAATATTTTGCTTGGAATTCACAGACAGAACAGACTGTCTCTACAAAGTTCCTGAAAACACACACACACTCACTGTCACCGTCTCTTCCTGGGGGGTAAAAACAGCACACTCGCACACGCCAGACCTCCCATTAAATCCTCTGCCTTCATCCTTCGCCTCAGATTTGCCCAAACATCAATCCCACAGGCATCATGAGTTGTTTTGACGGGAATTGAAGGGTGATGCAATCGGCCCATTTCACACCGTCAAATCATTTTGTCATCAGCAGATATGATCAGCACTGAGTGTTTTGTTTGACCTGTTTATAAAAGTGTGAAACAGTTTTTTAAATTCAATTTCAGTTGAATTCAATTAAAAATTTGCCTTGCAGTTCTGGAGAAAAGCGAATTTAAGGACGAGTCACAGTTTTTCCGCTTCTACGCCGATGAGGAGACGGAGGGTACGAGCTCGAAGAGTAAACAGCTTCGCAGTGACTTCAAACTCATCGAGAACATCCTTGCCAAATCCTTAGTGGTGAGATACACAGACATGCACACAGCATGGGTTTCTCCCCCGGGGAGAGCAGTGTTGAGGGATAACTAGCAATGCTCGCTCGTGCACATTTTTCAGTAGCGTGACAGTAGCTGAACTTATTTCGAAATGCTGTAGCTTTTGTAATAAAACAAGCGTAGTTGTTCATATGTTGCTTTATAGCTCAAGTGACCTAGGGCATTGAAATGATCAAAGCTTCTTTCCTGTAATTTCTCTCAAATGTAGCTTTGATTAGTTTGATTTATTCAGTTTGTTTAGACTGTTCATGTAAATCAAATGGTTAAAAAATGATTCACTGATTCACGTGAGTACAATTGTGGTATTTTATGTAATCTTTTTGTTTTGTTGAGAAATGATAGTGATCCTAATTGATTGCTAGTTGAGATCCTGTTCTCATAGTAAAATTAAGTTTGACCTCTTAAATTATGTGTAGCTTGACAAGATACAGGAGATATCAGATTTAAATCATTCTCTGTTTGACAAACTGCCCCCAGTATCAACAATACTAACATAAAAGGAAAGAGAAAACCCAATCATTTTATGTTGAAAGTAACACATTAACAAAACACACCCCTATATTTATAGGCACATACTCATGCTACTACACACACACTCAAGCACAACCATCAGCCATGCATTGATTGCCAATTAAGACCCTCCTCGTCCATCAGTAATTACCCTGACCTTTACAAACTACTCTTTCATCCCTTATAGACTGACAGATTCCTCCTCCAGATCATGAAAATCTTGCAGTCTGTCCTCTCTGTTCAGATGCTAAGAGCTTTCAGACACCCTCTCAGACGTCAGGACCTTACGCCACTGCAGATTTTCAGAGAAAATAAGGATAGAAATAAAACATTGAAAGGCATTTAGAGGGCTGGTAAACATGTTCTGCTTCAGCTCTTAGATAATAAAAGCACATACAAGCCCATCTCGTAAGCAACACATAGATGCAGTGGTGTAGTATTACTGATGTAACAAAATCAAAAGTTTGTTTGTATAGTACTTTACATTTTCGAAGGCGAGTCAGCCGATCATAATCAAGGGCTGGAACTATTTGTTTTATAATGCTTATTTAACAGTGTTATCTTTTTTCTCTCTAAATTCATTGATCAGTGCATTAAGTGCAGCACAGTTTTTCAGTGTGGTGTTTTACAGTTAGGGCTTTTTAACATCACACTCTGAATGTGTCTGCCAGAGGTCTAGTTTGTCAGTATGAGAGACAGAGAGTAAAATGAAGAGAGATGAGTGTGTTTTAGATGTAAACAGCTGTTGCAATAACATCTGGGGCCTCTGATGGAACAGAAATAGTCACAATATTGGAAAAGAACATTTTCTGATGAGATACACATGCTCATAGACACAAGCCTCCTGTTATAGAAGTGTTTTGCAGCCATGTCAGATCTCAACTTCCAAAACAGTCCACAACAATATTTTGCTTGGAATTCACAGACAGAACAGACTGTCTCTACAAAGTTCCTGAAAACACACACACACTCACTGTCACCGTCTCTTCCTGGGGGGTAAAAACAGCACACTCGCACACGCCAGACCTCCCATTAAATCCTCTGCCTTCATCCTTCGCCTCAGATTTGCCCAAACATCAATCCCACAGGCATCATGAGTTGTTTTGACGGGAATTGAAGGGTGATGCAATCGGCCCATTTCACACCGTCAAATCATTTTGTCATCAGCAGATATGATCAGCACTGAGTGTTTTGTTTGACCTGTTTATAAAAGTGTGAAACAGTTTTTTAAATTCAATTTCAGTTGAATTCAATTAAAAATTTGCCTTGCAGTTCTGGAGAAAAGCGAATTTAAGGACGAGTCACAGTTTTTCCGCTTCTACGCCGATGAGGAGACGGAGGGTACGAGCTCGAAGAGTAAACAGCTTCGCAGTGACTTCAAACTCATCGAGAACATCCTTGCCAAATCCTTAGTGGTGAGATACACAGACATGCACACAGCATGGGTTTCTCCCCCGGGGAGAGCAGTGTTGAGGGATAACTAGCAATGCTCGCTCGTGCACATTTTTCAGTAGCGTGACAGTAGCTGAACTTATTTCGAAATGCTGTAGCTTTTGTAATAAAACAAGCGTAGTTGTTCATATGTTGCTTTATAGCTCAAGTGACCTAGGGCATTGAAATGATCAAAGCTTCTTTCCTGTAATTTCTCTCAAATGTAGCTTTGATTAGTTTGATTTATTCAGTTTGTTTAGACTGTTCATGTAAATCAAATGGTTAAAAAATGATTCACTGATTCACGTGAGTACAATTGTGGTATTTTATGTAATCTTTTTGTTTTGTTGAGAAATGATAGTGATCCTAATTGATTGCTAGTTGAGATCCTGTTCTCATAGTAAAATTAAGTTTGACCTCTTAAATTATGTGTAGCTTGACAAGATACAGGAGATATCAGATTTAAATCATTCTCTGTTTGACAAACTGCCCCCAGTATCAACAATACTAACATAAAAGGAAAGAGAAAACCCAATCATTTTATGTTGAAAGTAACACATTAACAAAACACACCCCTATATTTATAGGCACATACTCATGCTACTACACACACACTCAAGCACAACCATCAGCCATGCATTGATTGCCAATTAAGACCCTCCTCGTCCATCAGTAATTACCCTGACCTTTACAAACTACTCTTTCATCCCTTATAGACTGACAGATTCCTCCTCCAGATCATGAAAATCTTGCAGTCTGTCCTCTCTGTTCAGATGCTAAGAGCTTTCAGACACCCTCTCAGACGTCAGGACCTTACGCCACTGCAGATTTTCAGAGAAAATAAGGATAGAAATAAAACATTGAAAGGCATTTAGAGGGCTGGTAAACATGTTCTGCTTCAGCTCTTAGATAATAAAAGCACATACAAGCCCATCTCGTGTGTAGCTGTGAATAAACTGAGCATTATGTTCTTGTTATGATCCAGACATGACCTAAAACCAGTATATCTTTCATCCATGATAACACCTTTAGCACCTGCGCTGGCCTATTAGCATGCAGCTGTGGCACATTTTAACAAATTGTTGTTTGGTTATTTTTAGAAGAAAAGACTTAACACCTCAAACAGCTTTCGGACTACAGGATGCATAGCTTGTTCACACATTTGCACAAACGCTGCTGCTCTCTCAGTGTGGCACCGAGCTGCTAAATCACAAATTGAGTCCTGAAAGTAACAAGTTTTTTCCATTCTGTTCTGCATTTATTTTGAGATGCAACCAGCTCTTGTGCTGATATTGTGTTTCTCTTGTCCATGTACAGATCCACCCTGAAGAGGAGGACTATGGGTTTGAGATCGAAGAGAAGAACAAGGCCATCGTAGTGAAGAGTGTGACCAGGGGCTCATATGCAGAGGTATGAATTTGGGTAACCGCATCCTAGTTCTCCACATTTCTCTGACCTATACAAAAAAATATCAGTGACAGAGTAAACCTAAAATACATGCCAACGGTTGGCTTGAGTCCCACAGTCTGCCACATTTGGGATTTTCCCTAGTAAGTGGTGTTTTCTTTCTTATAAGGCATTTCCACCCAAATTCAATCCGTATGTGTGAGCTGGTAGCCTTCAGAGAGTAAGAAAACCTAAACAACTGTTTTCACAAGTTTCACTGTCTGATCATCAGTCACATTTAGCACTGGTACATTGAAGTAATACTTAGTAATACTGTATGATTAAAAAAGGCTAAAAAACTATGTAAAATGTAATTGCTAAATGAGACTTGGTTTTATATCTAGAACCTTTTTTTGTTAACATGAAGGTTATATTCATATTTGAACCGTGCAATTTCATAAAACCTGTCAAAAAATGTCCCAGTTATATTTCACTCCAAAATGGAAATACAAAAATAATATGCTGATTTAGTGCTGTAAACATATTATCAATGTTCAAAACTGTTTTTTTTCAGGATCTTTTTTTTTTTAGGTGGAACCCAAGGGCTGCTTCAACCTTGCGGCAAAGGTCAGACCACGGTTTAACGCTAAAAGTTTCATTTCTGAATTTTGTTTTTTGATGACCCATAATTGTGCTTGTGTGTGTATACTGTGTATATTAGATTTCAAGATGGACATTCAAAGGAAGTTGTTTTCTCTAACCTATCACACGTTCTTGTGTGTATTTTAAATGCTCTCAGATACTGGAGGCCTTTGTGAAGGACGACAGTCTGTTTGTGAAGAGCTGCCGACAGCTAATGGCTCAGAATGAGAAGGTGGTGACCATGCCACAGTTTGAGTTTCGAAACATCTGTGACACCAAGCTGGAGAGCATAGAAAAACGCATTTGCAGCTACAAACAGGTGTGACATCTGTCTTGCTGTTACTACTTTATCGTATTCCCTAGTGCACTATGGATTATACAAAATCACAATGTTTCGAGACATGAATAACCATTTTTTAAATCTAATTGATATTTAAATATGGAATAAAAGGCATTAAAAACTATGCAAATGCTGTCTCATAGTACTTTAATATTCTTTTCCTATCAGTTTGTGGAGGAATTGCAGACGAAGGCCTGGCCCACGTTTAAGCAGGCGAGCACTAAACCTCATGATCTGGGCTGCATGGACTTCGTCCCCACCAACTGTCATCTGAACCTGATGCAGGTGTCTTATAAATCTTTGCTGTCACTTTTAACCAATCAGTTTATGAAAGTATTTGTTACTGACCTCAAGCTTTTGAATACTAGTGTATATTATTTAAAATATTGTTTAATCAAATAATAGTAAAAGTAATTGTCATTCTCCACAAATTGTATATAACATCAATGGTAATTGCAAGGGGGAGTTAAATGTGTTTAATTACTCTGAAAAAAATAGCACAGTGCAAAAAACAAATCAAAATAGACATTTTTTTATGCAAAATATAATGTTATATTTTCTTTAGATTTTGGAGTGAATAATGTATATTTTATTTGAATGGCTTTGTTAGAGTCGCATCTTCATGCAACATAATTGTATGCTCTTCATGTGCAGAAATGTTCATATCTATCTGACTTATTCACGGTCCACATGGTTTTACATATATAAATATAGTGGAAAGTGTGCCAAGCTCTGCTGTAATACAATCTGATAGATGTCCATGTATTTTTATCCAGTGTGGGGTTGTATTATATTCTTCTTGATAGCTAGATCTCTCAAGGACTCTTTTTGCATCTAAACGAACCTTGATTGTTTCCCAGGTCTTTTGTTGGGTGTGTAGTGTGGATCTAATCTGATAAATCTGCCTTTGGGAAATAAACCTCGATCATTATCTGTCATTTGAAAGAGGACCTCTTCAGCTCGAATGCATTATTTTCAGTGCACAGGGTTATTTGTGTTCATGCTCTGTACAGCTCTGCCAGATATTTATGGAAGATTGGTAGATAATTATGGTTGAGATCTAAACCACCACTAATTTTATCCTCACTGTGCCTGTTAGACCTGACACGAGACATTTTGTTCGTATTCAAGTGTCACACTGCTGCTCACAGGAGCATCTGCAGAAGATGAGAGTGTGATGGTAATGGTGATTAATCCAGTGAATGAGAGGAAGTGCTGCATGTCCTGACACTTACGTCACGGGCCGCTCAGATCATGTGTCGGGTCCAGGACACGCTTGCTTAATTCATTCCACTCCCTCTGTCTTCAAAGCTCTGCTCTCTGGAGATCTGGGAGAAGCAATTAAGCATGTCCCATCATATTCTCCACAGAGTCCTCACACTTACCTTTTTTCCCTTCTCTTTCCTCAACTTTTCTTTCTTGTTTTTTATCCCATTTTTTCTGTTTCTTATAGGTTACAAGGCTTTCTTCCTTTCTTTTTTCTTTCTTTCTTCCTTCCTTTCATTAGTTTGTTCATTTATTCTTTCCATCTTTCCTCCCTCACTACTTTCTTTCTTTCCTCACCCCTTCCTTTTTTCTTTCATACCCTCTTTTCCTCTTCCCTTCCGTGCTTGCTTGCTTCTTTCCTTCCTTCCTCCCTCCCTTTTCTTTCTTACTGCCCCTTTTCTTCTTTCCTATTTCCTATCCTTTTCTTCCTTTCCCCACTTTTTTCTTTCTTCTATCCTGCCTTTCATTAATTAGTTCATTCCTTCTTCCATTCCATCCTTTTTTCCTTCTTTCTTTCCCTTCTTTTGTTCTCTTCCCTTTCTTGTATATTCCTTTCTTCCTTGTTTTTTCCTCCTCTCATCCCTTCTTTTCCTTCTTCCTTCCTGCCTTTCATTAGTTCTACTTCCTTTCTTTCTTACAGTCACACATTTTTAATTGGTCTTTCAAATGAACTGCTTGGTTATCTGAAAGGGCTTATTATATCTTATAATTTTTTTAAAGCAATATAAAGCTCTTTTGCCATAAAGGTGTGAGGTTCTCTCAATTCTGTCTGCCAATCTTTTAATCCTCATTAACATCACTCATCTTTCTTTAATCCTCATCAAAATCAATCATTTCTCTCTCGCACATCAAAGAAAATTGTAATGAGGGACACCCTAATTTATTTTTCTCTTCATTTTTGATTGTTTGTTAGCTGGATTCTTGGTATTAATTTCCTTTGTTTTCATGTTTTTTCTTTGGTGCAGATGGCAGGCCTGCAGCCGGGTAGAAAGATCTACTCCATTAATGAGGACCTGGTGTTCCTAAGGCCTTTTTCTGAGGTGGAGACCATGATCAACCAGTCCTTCTGTATACGCCGCTTGCTCAGACTGCTGGTGGCCACCAAGAACAAAGAGTAAGTCCACGTTCATTGCAGAAATCAGATACTTATGCACAGACACACAGACGTGTTAAATGTAGCCGGGTACAGTGTAAAAGGACACTACTGGTATTAGAGTTACATGCAGGAGAGCAGCACACTGCAAAACACTGTTGTTTTCAAAAGAGTGTTCATTAATGTTTAAGCATGCCGGCACTTCTTGTTCCTCAGTATAGACACAATGATGTTCTTAAAAAAAAAAATCATTTCAAATGCATTGAAGTACAACATGCATATGCATGGCTATGTGGTTTTGTACAAATATAAAATGATGCATAATCAACGCTATCATCACATCAAACAGATTTGGGTTAGAAAGGGTCTAGACTGCTTTGGATTTATGAATCAGAATCATCCGTTTGATATCTTTCATTTGTTTGGTTATGGTCATTCTACATTATAGGCATATTTTTGTGTGTATACAGGCTCTGAAACGGCAGCAGCGGGCCTTCAGCCCGGTCAGTGTGTCCTTAAAGTTAACGGCAACAACATGAACCAGAGCAGCTACCAGGAAGTCCTGGAGCACTTTAGTGGCCATCAGCCTGTCCTGGAGCAGCAAGACACTGTGAGAATCAACACTGCATTGTGTTTAACACTGCATTATGTGTTTTTTTATAGGCTATGTGGTCCATATATGGTGATCCCAGAGGTTACTTGCTTCTGACACTCTATACAGTGCCTGTTTCCTCCTATGCATAATCAACGCTATCATCACATCAAACAGATTTGGGTTAGAAAGGGTCTAGACTGCTTTGGATTTATGAATCAGAATCATCCGTTTGATATCTTTCATTTGTTTGGTTATGGTCATTGTACATTATAGGCATATTTTTGTGTGTATACAGGCTCTGAAGCGGCAGCAGCGGGCCTTCAGCCCGGTCAGTGTGTCCTTAAAGTCAACGGCAACAACATGAACCAGAGCAGCTACCAGGAAGTCCTGGAGCACTTTAGTGGCCATCAGCCTGTCCTGGAGCAGCAAGACACTGTGAGAATCAACACTGCATTGTGTTTAACACTGCATTATGTGTTTTTTTATAGGCTATGTGGTCCATATATGGTGATCCCAGAGGTTACTTGCTTCTGACACTCTATACAGTGCCTGTTTCCTCCCTTTGTGATATTCTTTTTTTCTTCTGCCGCAGAGCTGTGGTCAGTGGGCGTACCGTGTGTATGAGGATGTGGAAGAGCAGATGTCTTTTAGGGGGTGTGAGAATGGCTCAGATTCAGAGGACGGCTGCACTAATGGAACAGGTAGTGTGTGTGTTTTTCTGTGTGTGTTTTTGGCAAATGACTCAGTGTGACAGGTGTAGCCAAAAAGTTATTGTCGTTAACGGAAACTATTATGAATACAAAAGCCATGGGAACTTTAGATCCATTGTTATACGCATTTGTGAATGCAAGCTTGTGTGAAGACATTTTGTCCTCGGCTAAGTACCAAAGTTCATGTGTGGTGAACTTGTGCAAAGACATTTGACCAGTGGTGGATCATTGACGTCATTGACCTCTTGTGTGAATTCACATAAATTACAAACAGATTAATCTCTCAAACCTGACTAAAAGCAAAAGATGCAAGAGGTTATATATATATATATATATGCAACTATTTATGAATAATTTAAAATAAAACTTAACTGAAATTAAAAGTAAAACTGCGCAATGAAATGAAAATAAAAAATTAACCTTTTTAATGTCATTGTAATGTCATGCGATGTCCTGTACACATTTATTTGTGTTTCTGTTTGATTCTTTACACTTTTGTGTTCTTTGGATTTTCTAGGCTCTGTAAGAAGGCTGGAACAGTTGTCGATCTCTGGCGATGTTGCTTCAGTCAGTCTGAATGTGGATAATGTTCATGTGGAACATGGGGTTGTGTACGAGTACGTCAGCACAGCAGGAATCAAACACTGTGTGCTGGAGAAGATGGTGGAACCCAAGGGCTGCTTCAACCTTGCGGCAAAGGTCAGACCACGGTTTAACGCTAAAAGTTTCATTTCTGAATTTTGTTTTTTGATGACCCATAATTGTGCTTGTGTGTGTATACTGTGTATATTAGATTTCAAGATGGACATTCAAAGGAAGTTGTTTTCTCTAACCTATCACACGTTCTTGTGTGTATTTTAAATGCTCTCAGATACTGGAGGCCTTTGTGAAGGACGACAGTCTGTTTGTGAAGAGCTGCCGACAGCTAATGGCTCAGAATGAGAAGGTGGTGACCATGCCACAGTTTGAGTTTCGAAACATCTGTGACACCAAGCTGGAGAGCATAGAAAAACGCATTTGCAGCTACAAACAGGTGTGACATCTGTCTTGCTGTTACTACTTTATCGTATTCCCTAGTGCACTATGGATTATACAAAATCACAATGTTTCGAGACATGAATAACCATTTTTTAAATCTAATTGATATTTAAATATGGAATAAAAGGCATTAAAAACTATGCAAATGCTGTCTCATAGTACTTTAATATTCTTTTCCTATCAGTTTGTGGAGGAATTGCAGACGAAGGCCTGGCCCACGTTTAAGCAGGCGAGCACTAAACCTCATGATCTGGGCTGCATGGACTTCGTCCCCACCAACTGTCATCTGAACCTGATGCAGGTGTCCTGCCCGAAGAACACCTCCTCATCAAGCCGAGCCTTCAGCATCCGCTTCGGACGCAAGAACTCCTTCTTTGGCCTTGATCCTGATCAAGGTACATATAGTTATGTTACCATTTATAACTGAAGGGATTTATTCTAGTGCTGTCGAGCGATTAATTGCGATTAGTCGCATCCAAAATAAAAGTTTTTGTTTACATAATATATGTGTGTGTACTGTGTATATTTATTAAGTATATATAAATACACACTTGCATGTATATATTTAAGAAAAATGTTATGTTATATATTTATATATAATATAAATTATATGAATATAAATATTTACATGCAAATACATGTAAATATTTTCAAAATAAATACAGAATGTGTGTGTATTTATATATACATAATAAATATACACCGTACACACACATATATTATGTAAACAAAAACGTATTATTATTATTTTTATTATTTTGGATGCGATTAATCACGATTAATCGGTTGACAGTGCAAATTATATCAAATTTAAATATTAGATATTCTTTTATAATACATTTTAATATTTCGGTTTCTCACAAAAGCTAAATAAAATACTTCAAAGAGAATATGTAATGTTTAAGTCTGAAAAATGACTTGATTAAATACTACGATTCAGCTCATTGGCTCAGTTAACCAAATCTCCATGTTACAGTTATTGAAGGTTATAAAAAAGTAATTAAGCTTTATGGTGAAAACCTCCCAGGTCTTGTAAAAATCATGGCCTGCTATTCCCAAAGCGATCCAGAACCTTTTAAAGCACCTCCATCAGACCTCCATTAAGACACCATTAGACCATTATAAGTAGCTTTTAGTGATGTCATCCCCACTGTCCCATAGGTCTATAGTCATCCACTCCCTGCGGCCTAACGCCCACATCTCTCTCTTATTATGACTGTTTGGTTTTTGTTTATGAGGCCTGATGCTTTATTTAAGAAGATAAACCTTAAGACATATTAGCTTTATTATCAAATACAACAAATTGGCAAACTCAACACACCAGAGCTCAACAATAAAGCTTTCTGTTTCTTCTGGCCTGGTTGAAGCAATTGTTCAGATTTGTCCAGATTCTTCTTGGAGCAAAACAATTATACAATTTATTTATAGCCATTTTTAATATAAATTTTTTTTTCTTTATTTAAAATACATTATTAGCAACAATAATAAAAGTTGTAATGATACAACATTAATGAAACTGCTTTACATCTATAAATTATTATTATTTTTATTATTTAGCTGATTGACTTTCAAATCCAAGCCATTCTGCACTTGTCCAAAAATTTCAAGACCAGTAACATTTAGCTAAGTTTTAAAATACAACTGGGCATCCCTAGAACTTAGAGGCAAAGCATCTGGCTTTCATTTTTGGCTTCACCTGCGCAGATTGCTACGTCCCAACTTTCTGTCTAGCCACCACGTGTAGCTGGGGAATGAACCACATAATGCTTTGTTTCTTATGCTCCGCAGCACGAGAGCTGAGAGCTTTTTATTTTTCAGTCTCTGCTACACATCTGCTCTGCAGTTGTCTCATGGTCAGAGATGTTTAAAATTCCTCCGGTACACTTCTCTGTAGCCTACAGCCTCATGGTCCATGGCTTTACCACATGCAAGTGTATGCCTCACTGCTTTTCAGTCATTCAATTCTTCTGTTTTATTGAGTCACAGAAACGCCAAACTTAGTATGCTGCATCCCTAGACAGCATTTTAAGGCATGCACCCAGCATGAAGGCTGTTTCAAAGTCTGAGTACCATAATTATGTCTTCTAAGATGCCTTCTTTAGGCCAAATTGTAAGGTGGCATTACTTATATTCCCAGATTGCAGACTCAGTGACTAACGAAATCCAGGATACTGTATGAATCAAGAAAAGTGACACTCTTTTGTGATGTTGATTAATGTCACTTATTTTCTTCCTGCAGCCAATTTGAATCCCATGTCCCATGCCGTGCATTGTGTGACCAGCATGGCGGCCCCCTCCTGGAGTTGCCTGAGTTTAGATGAAGAGACGGAGGAGGGTGAAGGGAGCATAGAGGACGGCAGGAAGCATGAAGAGGGAGGTCTCAGCTTCCTCCTCAAACAGGAAGACATGGAGAGCCAGGATAATTACATCTGCCTCTATAACCGCCTGGACATATCAGTGCGAGAGATGAAGCAATATGTGGCCCAGATAGATGTGTAAGTGGTGAAGTAATTTAACAGTGTTCAAAGTAATGTTTAAAATAGATTTAACATTAAGTGATGAGCTCTTGAAATTTTCAAAATTAAAAAAAAAAATCTATAGTTAATATACATATAATATAATCATTTAACTCAAATATTTAATAATCTACAAAAACATTCTCAAATTCTCATCTGATAGCTCAGAGTAGGTTTTAGTAGCCTCCTCTTTGAGTTCTTCGAGTTCAAAACTTCAGGATGTTCTTTTATGACAGTCTAAAAATATTTATGGCTTAGACAGAAAAAAAATGTAAGACTGAAGCCATAACAGACGACTGCAGAGAAGACATTTCAACAGCCTCTCATCAGGAACGAATGTTTGTTATTCAGTGGCTAGCATGTGCTGATGTAGAAGTTAATTGTCAGTGAAATGGATTTCATTTCCCAATCCTATTCCCCCGTCTCTTTCCCAGTGCCTTTCTGTCAGTCTACACTTCCCTGTCCCATAAAAGAACAAAGATCATTAGTAAAATAAAAGGGTGTTTCTTCAACTAGAGACAGTTTTGTCCTTATTGTTATAAAATACCCTTAAATAGGCTAAGCTCTCTTATGACGTTTCACACTCTCACTAGTTTAATTTGTCCATTAACGTCATTTATTTGATCAAAAATAGAGTAAAACAATAATATAGATAAATATTATTGCAAAATAAAATAACTTTTCTGTTTTTGTGTATGTTTTTACAATGTAATTTATTCCTGTGAGATCAAAAGCTGAATTTTCAGGATGCTTTAAAGTTCTGTAGAACTCTTTCATAACAATGTAAAAGTTTTTACTCTTTATTTTGATTAATTAAATGCATCCTTGCTGAATAAAAGTGTTAATTTCTTTTTTTTTTTTATCTAATATATTATCCAAATTTTAATTACGTTAAAAATAAATCATCAGATAATGAGCCCTTATTTTCATCATATTTTTTATCTGTTGATCTGCTCTAACATTAATAACATTAATCATTATTGGGCAAATCAACTCATAACTCACACGTTCAGTGTCAAAACACTCTCATAATTCATTGTAACCGTTCATGTCTATCTGTTTCCAAACCTCTCTAAATATGTTTCATCTTAGACTACTGTCATCGATAACTGGACCAACCCCGCCGCAGGGCTCAGAGCCACCCTCGTTTGAGAGCGCCCCCTCGACCTCTCCCATACCGGAGGAGACGGACCAAGACAAGACAGAGCATGGCGGCAACAAGAGAGTGTGCTTTAAAGTCAACGAAGATGATCAGGAGGACTCTGGACATGACACCATGAGCTACAGAGACTCCTACAGGTGAGGAAAAGATTGTGAAATGATGTTTATGAAACATGTTGGAGCCTGGGTTCTTAAATGAGTAACACAGGTTCAAGTCCAACCTGCAACATGTACTGATCCATTTAACACACTGTTCTTAATCTAATCAGTTTTTTAAAATGCCAATACTGATACAAGCACCAATTGTCACTATGCCTTTCATAATTCATAATAACATTTTGTTTTCTGTGAAATTACATGTATAAAAGATGATTTAAAATCCCAGTTTTCCTCCAGCACGTGTGAAGCAGAGAGAGTGAGCGAGACGGGGCTTCTGGGCTCCTGTCTGCTCCTCCTGTCAAACAGATGTTGCTAAAACAGACACGTAGGGAGACGATAAACATCCCTTACGAAAGCCATACAGAGTTCCTGGAAAGTTGTTTGTTTCAGTGAAGCTTTCCTTTACAATTGTAATTTTTCTTCAGCTTTGAATAATTACTGAACTTCGCATCTGTTTAATTGGCTATGAATCTTTGATAATGGTTCAAACATTTTTTTTGTACATGATTAAATATCTTTTTTCTTTGAAATATTGGTAAAATTGGAATTGGTCTCTGCAGGCATCCTTTTCATCACATGAAAACATTTGTATCTGTGTGTTTTCACAGTGAATGTAACAGTAACCGAGACTCAGTGCTGTCATACACCAGCGTCCGGAGCAACAGTTCTTACCTGGGCAGTGATGAGATGGGCTCAGGTAACTGTGGTCTGTTAGATGTGGTTACAATGTAGAATTCAGGACAATAACTAACAAGACATCGCTATTTTTATTTATTTATTTTTCAGGAGATGAGTTGCCATGTGATATGCAGATTCCTTTTGACAAGCAGGATAAACTTCATGGATGTCTGGAACACCTTTTCAATCAGGTACATTGATTTCCTCTCATAAATCAAACTTTTAGTCTCTTTTGCCAATTTAAACTTGATATTCCCTTTGTCTGACTCCACTCACCTCCTTATTTTGTCTTCTATTTTTGCTCTTCATCAATACATCCCCTCTTAGTTTCCCTCTCGTCTTCCTCTCTAACTCCCACTGTGTCGTTTATCACATTACCATCATCTCTAGTGAGCACTCTTTGACCTCTGCACCTCTGCTCTTTGACCTCAAAATCTATCGTCTTCTGGAGGTCACCAGATTTTGACCCCCCTCTCAATTTCCCAGATATCAATAATGAGCTCTTTTATTCACTGCAGACAGGTTACATGTGGACTGACTGAAAGCAGCAGGCCTGACATTAGCAAGGGCGTTAGCCGGTCTTCAGTTAGCGCAGGATGTGTGTGGTGACGGGGATAACTGTGTCTTTTTCATTCTCAGGTTGACTCGATCAACAGTCTCCTGAAGGGCCCTATCATGAGCAAAGCCTGTGAGGAAACCAAGCATTTCCACAACGACCACAGTCAGCCAGGTACCGCCCGGTCGGGTGTGCGTGTGCGCTATATTTGAACGCTATGTTTGGAAACTTGTTTGAGGGATGTGTGTATTTGGGTTCTCTGTTGGTGTGTGGGGGGGGACTTTTATAGGTGGGTAGGGGTGTGTGAATGTTTCTGTTTGCATCTGTACGTTATTACCTCAGTAGTTTCTCCTATGTGTTTTATGTATTTTAGGGGAGTAGTATAATTAGCTTGTTTAAATATGGGGTTCTGACAACAGTTATGTATTTTGTGGGTTTTTGTGAGAGTTCGCACTGCCAGCTACATCTGTTAACCTGTTTGTAAGATATTGCAAAGCACAATAGTGTGAATTTTTGGCTATTTTTTTTATTTAATCTAAATATATATATATATGTGTGTGTATATATATGTGTGTGTGTGTATGTATATGTATGTATATATATATGTATGTACAGTATGTATGTATAGTATGTATGTATGTATATATATATATGTATGTATGTATGTATGTATATATATATATGTGTGTGTGTGTATGTATATGTATGTATATATATAT